TCGCGTTACCGCGCGTACCTTTTCGAATCCTTGACAAGAAAAAATAGAAAAAAGAACCTCGATGGCTGTTCTGGCGAACATTCTCTAGCCAGTATCGCAGATCAGAGGTTATCGGCTTCTACATAATCTTGCATTCCAGGCGATGGTACGTAGAAGGTGCGAGCGATGACAATTTCTATTTTTCCAAGCCGTACAGTAGGGCCTGTTCACCAGGCGAGCGGAGATTCCAGATGTCAAGGACTTCGAGATTTTCCACGATCGTGATGGAGCGGAATTCCACTCCACTCATGTCAAAGTGCAGAAGGAGCCATCCACGAAATCTGTTACTGTACCGCTCCAGCCCAGTCTGCCAGCTGTCCTGTGGCGATTTGTCGTTTTGGATAGTAGTGATAGTTTTAGCAGTGCTATTCTGTGTGCAACATGGCTCAGTACACATAGAATGGAGTTTTGTTTTCTCCTCTGCTTTTTTTTGTTTTTTCCACCCACCCGCGTGCCTTCTCCAGAAAATATCCGACGCGAAACATAGAAATAACTTGGTGTGGCCTTAGGTAAAAAAATGGCTGACATCTCATCATGCTTATTTCTACTCAACCAGCACCTGCATTGATGTCAGCTGTCGTGACATGATTACTATGAGCAGGGCATCACGACATCATAAGCAGGGCATCATGACATCACGAATACGGGCGACATCATTACATCATGAGTAGGGAAGCAATACATCATGAGTAGGTCATCATGACGTCCTGAGCAGGGCATCATGACATCATGAGCAGGGCATCATGACATCATGAGTTGCGGACGACATCATGATCCTCTGTATACAAGGGATTTGACCTCTGTAAGGTGTGGCATGTTCTCTCACAATACGTTCTTTCTCACCTCGTGTTTCCTCGTGTTTCCTCTTCCAGAATGCAATCGTAGTGCAAATGATAGCATTGCAAACGTGTCCACGGAAGGCATGGTAACCTGTAAGCTTGGGTACGAGTACAAGGGTAATCAGCCTGTCTGCATTGGGAATAACACGATATTGCCATGCACAGGTAAGCGGGGTTACTGTGTTTACAAAAGGGTATCTTGTAAGGCTGCTTTGGCTCAACGCGAGCGCATCTTGGGTTCTCTTAGACTCAAACAAACTGTTGCTTATCATTAGACAACGTAAAACCAATGAAACAGAAACGACACGAGGAGACAAGCTCCAGGAAAAAGGGCTAGAAAACCGTATGTCGTACGTGAAGACCATGGGAACGTCGTAGGCGTCCCATGGCGCAAAAGGTAAGTAAAATACTTTAGAAGACACGATAGAAAGAAGAAAGAAGACTGTATAATCAATTGCTTGTATGCTTGTATGTATGCTTGGTGCGAACCATTAGTTTGTGACAATACTCTTATTCATGCAATCTCTAACAAGCATGCACTATCTAACAAGCATGCACTATCTGACAAGCATGCAATATTCCACACTCCCTCCAGATGAGAGCTTAGAATTAGTGTACTACATGTACCTGACTCGTTCCTACAACAGCGTGATGCTACTAGAGTACAGAGCATGGTGAAACGTGATGCTCTCATCGAACACAGAATATTGCTGCTGCAGCTCTATAAGGAGCCGGCATTAATCAGTTGCTGTCTGGCCTTATCAGCTGACCGGGCAGCATCTCTCTTCGGACGCGTGGCGCCGGGGTGCGCACCAGATTGCTGGATAGCGGAGGCTGTGTCCGCAACATGGGCCTGCGATTGTTCGGCGAGAACGTCGGCGGCTGGTGCAGGTCTTGCGACCTCCACGGGGTACAGTCGCTGTACCGGGCGACGCATGGTGGATGCTCGTCCTCCGCGAGAAGAGCATTTTATTACCGCTCCTCGGACCTTGTTGTCCTTGCCTCGGATGAGGTCTTCGACTAACGCTAGTCTCCACAGGCCACGCTTCTCATTGTCGTCGTGCACGACTACTACATCACCGACGCACACTGTTGCTCCTTGGTCGTGCTGATTGCCTCGCCTGTGAGCGTTTCGGAGTTCGAGTAGATACTCACTTCTCCATCTGCACCAGAAATGCTCCAGGAGGGTGTTGAGGTGGGTGAGTCGGTGTAGAAGCTCATCTCGTTGAATTGACGCGACATCGACGTCATCAGGACACACTGTCGGAAATGACAGGACGCGCCGACCATACAATAGATGGGACGGTGTTAACGGCTCCTCGACATCTTCAGTTGACACAAATGTCAGAGGGCGACTGTTGAGGACTGCTTCAACCTCGAGCAAGAAGGTGAGGAGTTCTTCGTACGTGACGCGTGCCTGGCCGAGAATCTTCCTCAAGCAGCGTTTTACACATCGGACCATCCGTTCATAAAATCCACCCCACCATGGAGCCTTCTCCAAGTTGAACGACCATTCCATGCCGTGTGCTGTTAGATAGTCAGTGACTTCGGGCAGACCGAACAAACCCACTAGTGACTTAGCCGCTGACTTGAAGGTCTTGGCGTTGTCAGAGGTAACGTGCCGAGGGATGCCAAATCGTGCCGTAAACCGCTTGAAACAACGGAGGAACGTTTCCGCTGATAGGTCAGGCACAAGATCTAGATGGAGCGCTCGGCTGACGGCGCAGGTGAAGAGCGCGATATATACCTTCTTGGTGTCTGCTCCTTCCCTGACAAACAGTGGCCCTGCGAAGTCCACACCGACGTAACTAAAGGGGAAGTCCACCTTGGTCCTGAATTCTGGCAGGGGAGGTGAATCTTCCGGAGCGTACGGCTTCGACTCGAGACGTCGACAAACGGTGCATTGGCCGACAATCTTTCGTACGAATTGCCGACCACGAATGATCCAGTAACGGGATCGTAGCTCGGTTAGTGTCTCCTTGACACCATTGTGGCATACCGTGTCATGCGCCTGCAGGACGGCTAGACGTGTCAACGGGTGGTTCGCGTTCAGCAAAACCGGATGGGTTTGATCATGCGACAGTCCGGCGTTTTGCAGACGTCCACCACACCGTAGAATGCCACTCTCGTCGGTGAAAAGGCCGAACTCCTTACACCAACCAGGGTACTTCTTGTCCTTGGACAGATCCTGTTGAGCGTTGACCATCCACAGTGTATGTGCTCTGTGGAGATCCTTCGCAGACAGATGTGTGGTCTTGCTGCGACGCTTCAACAGGTCTGTGACCTTCAGGACGTAAGCGGTCACACGCAGCAGTTTGCTCAGTGAGCTGAATCGATTCACATCGATGACCTTCTCGATGCTGCTGTGCGAGGTGCAGCCGACTGCCATGACCGTGGTAGGTGTTGCCTTCCGCTCTCTCTCGACTTCTTCACACTGCGATGCTGCGGAGCCGCTGTCGACTTCTGCTCGGGGTTGTGGCTCGTGTAGCCACTTCGGACCAGTGTACCAGATGGTACTAGTGAGCTCACTGGGCTTCACTCCTCGTGACGGCAGGTCAGCCGGGTTCGAAGATGTTGGACAGTACCTCCAGCAGGACGTCGGAACGAGACGTCGGATCTCTGTAACCCGGCTCTCCACAAACTGCTTCCAAGTTTGCTCCACTCCAGCTATCCACGCCAGTGCCACTTGGGAGTCGGACCAGCAGTGAATCTGATCAATCTTCAGATCTGCCAAGGTTGAGGAGACTGATGCCATCAGGCGAGCCAATACCAGTGCTGAAAGCAACTCGAGGCGGGGAATGGTCTGTTGCTTCAGCGGCGCAACACGAGTCTTTGCAGCGACTAGCTGTACTGAAGTGCCCACCTCCGTCGTGAACACAATGTAGATGGCTGCTGCATAGGCTCTCTCGGACGCGTCACAGAAACCGTGTAGCTCGACACGTGTGATGCTGCCGTTCGCGTCTGTTGCGTAGTGCCGTGGCAATGAGACCGGTGGCATGGCCTTCAATTCCCGTATCATCGTCTGCCACTTGCCAAGACACTCTCCCTCCAATGGGTCATCCCAGCCCATCTTCAACTGGCATAGTTGTTGGTGAAATACCTTGAGGGTGATGGTTATAGGTGCCAGGAGTCCGAGGGGGTCATACATCTTGGCTGACGCCGATAGGACTTGGCGCTTAGTCACTGGCGAGTCGACCTTGGTCGTGCTGAACACTTCGTCGACGCTGAACGTAAGACGGTCAGATGTCCTGTCCCATGGAATGCCCAGGACTTTGGTGGTGGCTGCGGATGAGCCGTTCAACATGGTCTTGGCATACGAGTCGTTGTCCACGGCGACATTAGGCAGACCGTTAGTCGACAGTGGTGTCGCTGCGGTACCATTGACGATCTCATTCAACTCAGCGGAGTTGGAGACAAACTTGCGCAAGTTGAATCCGCCTGTTGCAAGGTGATTCTTGGCACGGTTGAACGATTCCAACGCATTGGCATTGCTGTTGCCGCCACTCGCAACATCGTCCACGTACAGACTCTGTAGCAGCTTCGTAGTGAACTCGGGATCAAACTTGGCGAGATGGTGTTGCAGGGTAGCGTTCAATAAGAATGGGCTAGCGGATACACCGAAGACAACACGCGTGAATCGGTACGTCTTGAGTACCGGCTGAGCGCTTGTGGGATTGTCGACCCAGAGGAAGCGTAGGACGTCGCGGTCGGCTGCCTCAATCCCAACCATCAAGAACGCCTTCTCTATGTCTGCGGTGAAGGCTACCGCATGCGTTCGGAACCGGAGCAGTATGCTGGTGATCTGCTCGAGCAGCGGTGGTCCCGTGTGGATGCAGTCGTTCAGGGACGGATGCGTCTTCACCTTGGCTGAGGCATCGTACACCACACGAACCTTCGTAGTGGTCTTGTCCTGCCGAATGACAGGATGGTGAGGCAGGTAATGTACTTCGCCCACCACGTCGTGCTCTGTAGTTGGCACCTCCTCGATGATGCCCTTCTGAAGTTGCTCTTGAATTACTGCATTGTATTCCTTCAGAATTTCTGGTGACTTCTGCAGTTTCTTGAGTGTTGACTGCAGCCGTTTCTCGGACAGACTGTAATTGTCTGGAAGCGCGCGATGATCCTCCCTCCATGGCAACCTGACCGTGTACCTCTGCCCATCGTAGCGGATGGTCTGTTGGAACAGCTGCAGAGTGTCCGGTTCATTAGGCAAGATGCCGATGGATTCAAGCTGCCAGAACTTCTGGAGTAGCTGGACCAAAGCGCTGTCTGGATCTTGCACGGTAGATGGTTCGACATCGCAAGCGTGAACGGTTGCGACGTTAGTGGAGATGATGCCTGAATTACACCTGCCTGTCGGTCCGGACAGAACCCACCCGAGGCGAGTATCGAGAGCAGTTGGCCCATCATCTACACGAACGATGTCGCCCGTGACGATCTGCCAATAAACGTCAGCGCCGAGTAGAATGTCGATACTAGCTGAGCCGCCACAGTTGTCGGCGAGACTGAGATTCTGTAGAGACTCGTAAGCTGTGACTACATCTGCAGTGTGCTGATTTTGCACGGGTGCACAGACTGATGGAACGACGATGCAGTTGACACGAATCCGGTTGCCATCGACGCACTGAATGTCCAGTTCGACCACGTCCCGGAGTGTGCTTGGGCTTGGCTGTTCGCCGCCAAACGCGTTTATCACTACACGTTCTTGACCGGAGCGGCGCACATCCAGCTGAGTCAGTACCGATGATGTAGCGTACGAGCGTTGGCTCCCACCGTCTAGCATTACTCGCACAGGCACTTTTCGATCTGGACGTTGAGGCGAGACCACCGAGGTCTGTGCGGTTTGTAGAAATACAGCTCCGCTGTCGCTGACAGTAGCTGCGGTTGTTGACGAAAACACTGGCTTCGACCATTTTCCACTTCCGCCTTGTCTAGATGGCGGAGATGTCTTCGCGCCAGTCCCAGGCTGCTCTGACGACTTGGGTTCGCAAATGGACGTATGATGTCGATGCTCACATTTGCTACATCTCAGCTTAGACTTGCAGTCGCGAGCCATGTGGTTCTTCTTCAGGCAGATGAAGCAACGACCATTCTTGCGTATCAGCTCCTTGCGGCGCTTGATGTCTGTGATGGACGAACATTGCGAGGACTCGTGTCCGCTGCCG